TTATTCTTTCAAACACAGTTTTATCAAAACACTTGTCGATAATTTCATTTATGGGAGGAGCACTGTATTTCACTTTTTATTCCAAGTATCGTGTTGATTTGTTAGTTGGGGATATAACAGCTCGGAGTTAGTTTCTCATTTGCTTATGATAATGAAAGATAAACCTACAGAAAGTTTTTACAGGTTCACTGGAAGAGTAAAATATTTTGGATAAATGTCAGTATCTAAGCAACTACGCACCTACCCCTCCCCAAACTCAACATGAGCCATAACTTGTTATAAATTGACTGTCGTTGGGTCAGTGGAAGGTGTAGGTGCGTATAGCCGCTCAGATACTGGCATTCATCCACATTTTGATTGTCATTTCTCAGCTTCACCGATTGTTAATGGTCTTGACAGTTGTACTAACTATCCTTGGAGTTATCATCATCTTTGTTCATGCTGGTCGCTGGACCAAGGTAGGACTAAATCTTCATATCCTGTATCTTCTCTATAATGGTTAGCTGGGGACATTAGGGAACCCACGCACTTCTCGCAAAGTGAAATTTCCTTTAAAAAATATTGTTAACTGCCTTAAGCAGTCTGGCCACAGTCCTCTAGAAACTGATGTAAATGATATATGCGCATTAGGGCATATTCATATGCACTATTATTATTATCTCTTTGACCTGCGTGACACCTCAGCCAATCACAACCAGTTAACCAGTGACAACATCAATTTACATCATATCCCGGCGCAAAGCACAGGTCAAGAGTTTTCTAGAGGTGGATTGTTGACAGAACAAGAGGCTAGGCTTGTATTAGGCCTATCGATTGGCTACATGGATAGATAGTTCCCAGCCTTCTTTTTTCTTTTTACTCACAGGAAGCTGGTGCTCATCCAATCACTGGTATATTTGTACTGGTGCTTGCTGTTATTCAACCAATTATGGCAGTATTCAGACCCCACCCTGGAGAAGAAAAGTATGTTTGGAGAATATTTTTTCTCTCTTTTCTCTTTTGTATCCTCAGTGTTCATGTTCCTTATTGTTGGTGTTGCTTTTCTTTAGACGCTACATCTTCAACTGGGCTCATCGTGGTGTGGGGCTGTCCGCACTAATCCTGGCTGGTAAGGAGTCTTTTGAATCAATATCGCTTTAGAATGATCACTGGCTCAGCTCTTTCGCTCCTTGAGCTGAAAAACTGGTTACTCCTTGTTACACTAACAATACACTGTGACACCAGATTCCCTTGATTAGTTTATATAGAAAATGGAAACTAGCCCAGTAGATGGGAGAATTGCAAAGCAGATCTCAGAAGTTAAAGGAAGATGATACTGTGTGGAAAATGTTTGCAACTTTCTCTGAAACATCACACAAAGTCATACACTTTAGAGATCACTGAACTGTCAAACAAATTAGAGGCTGATATTATCTGCAATTCCCACTGATGGTTTTGGAAAATTTCTTTAGATACTAACCACTAATTTTTATAATACATCTTAAACTTCTCTTTGTTAAACTTCACAGTGGTGACTGTGTTCTTTGGTCTTCGCCTTCCTGATTCAAGGCTAGGTGACTCCGCCCTGTACCCCATGGTCGCCTACTGTGTGGCTTTGACTCTTGTGGTTGCTTACGACATCTATGATACTTTGTCAACGCCACAGGGCGAAGTATTTTTCAGTGTTGTTCCATCGGGAGGGAATGAAGGTGATTACTTGTGGAGTTAGGAAACTGAGTTTTAATCAGAACTGATCATCCAGCTGACTTGTTAATTTATTGGGAGAACTCTGTTATTAATCAGAACTGTCTGGCAAGATCAGTCAGTGTCTAGATTTTATACACTATTTTAAGGAAATGTTTCAAAGTTAGATGAAAGCATACAAAAAAGGTCATATTCTTCTGTAAACTTACCATTCTTTTGGCCATTTTTGATTGATTCTAATCTCCCTCACGTGACTGAATGACTATCGACTGTTATCATCACACTAAAGATACAAAACAATGCCCATGTAACACAAATGTAAACTCTCGAAATGCACACTAACGGTTAATGGATTTCAGTCATATTCAATACTTTTGGTCTGTGAATTCCATATATGCTAGTCACATGACTCTTGTTGTATCTTTTTGTTTATTTTAATGACAGATGAAGATGTTGAATTGCAGCCCCCTGACATTCCGGTATAAAAAATTCATTTCAGTATATCTTGTTCAGTTGTGTCTTTTGTTGTGCTTAATTCTGGTCCCAAGGAAGAAACAAGTAAAGTTTGTTGAAGGCGATTTAACAAATTTAAACGCTTTCATACCCTAACTTGTTAACTCCATGTATGACCAAGACAGAATGTCTTGTTACAATTACTAGTGATGAGAACATAGAAAAATATTTATATGGGGATTATTAATTGATCTAATACCAAATTCTCCAAACAAACACCATAAGAATTGTATGACAGACAGTGAGGAGAAATACTAATGAGATTTTGGGAGTAAAAGGTTAAATGACGTCAGTGCATTATGATCAGCGATATAGGTGACGTAAAATGCATTCTTTAGGAACTCCTGCTGAAGTAGAAATTCTTAATTTCCTTCTCTTCCAGTTGTCCAAGCTTTGTGTGCAAATAGGGTATTACTCTCTGTGGATGTTTTCTTTCGGTTCTCACCTGCTGTTACTTTTTTTTCCTTTTGCAGACTGTAAATGAACACAAATTTCTGTTTGCCTTTACGGTTCTTGTTTCAGTTGGTGTTGTGATTGCACTTTTGGTGCTGATTGCAATCGCTGACAGGGAATCTCACAAACATGATCACGACAGCTAAATTAAAAGTCAAGGAGTGAGTTTATAAGGGTGTGCTATTATTTTAATATGCGGACCAATCAATCCCTAAGTTGAAAGTGCAGAGACTTGTAGAAAGAATCTATCTGAATTTTCTTCCTGAAATCATTAAACTGAAATTTTTCATTTTCTTGTACAGTCCTTTAAATCTCATCCATTGTTTATCATCTGTATTTCTTTTATTTAT